CTAATCCACTGGACAGTGCTTTGGTGTATCCCAAAACTCCTCAGTTTCTCCACCAGGATATCATGGGGCACTTTGCCAAAGGCCTTGCTGAAATCCAGGTAAACCACATCCACTGCAGCCCCTCCATCTAGCCGCCATCTCGAAACCTTGTCATAGAATTCCACAAGGTTTGTCTGGCAGGACCTGTTCTTGTGGAAGCCGTGTTGTGTGGCCGCCAGCCTCCCTTCCCTGTCTAGCATCACTAGATCCCTTACTATTATGAGCCTTTCCATTGTTTTTCCTACAATGGATGTAAGGCTAACTGGTCTGTAATTCCCCATGTTCTTTCTACTACCCTTTTTGAACATTGGGACCACTGACACCACCCTCCAGTCCTCTGGAACTTCACCTCTTCTTCATGAGGCCTCAAAAATGGAGGTCAGCGGGTGTGAGAGAACCCCTGCCAACTCTCTAAGTACTCTCGGGTGCAACCCGTCGGGGTCTGGTGCCTTTGTAATGTCCAATGCCCTAAGGAGCCCCTCGACTTCTAGGGGGGTGACTCTAATCTGTGCCCCTAAGTCCCCGGCCTCATCTAATCTCCCATGCGGGTCTCCCCCGTCCTGCTTTGGGGAGAACACAGAGGCAAAATAGTCATTTAGCATCTGTGCCTGTTCCCTCCTATCAGTCACTGGATCCCCTTCCTCCTTATTTAGCGGTCCCACCACTTGTCTCCCCTTCCTCTTGCTATTTACACGCTGATAGAAGCCCTTTTTGTTGCTCTTGATATTCTTGGCAAGTCTCAGCTCGTAAGCAGCCTTAGCCTTGCGAAGAATCCTCCTGCAACGGGCCTCCTCCTCCTGGTAGACCCTTTTGCCTATTTCCCCCAGTACCCATTTCCTACGGAGGTTCCTCTTGCTTCTAATCCCCACCTTACTAACTAGAGGTATCGCCAACCTTGCGCCTCCAAAACCTCCCTTTTGAGTGCCATCCACCCCTCCTCAACTCGCTTGCCTTCCAGTAACCTGTCCCAGGAGACTTCCCCCAGTCTGGCCTTCAGTTGGCCAAAGTTGGCCCTCTTGAAGTCCCAGCTTCTAGTGCTCAACCTGCTGCACGTCCCCAGTCCCCTGATCTCAAAGCAAAGGATGGAGTGATCACTCGCGCCCAGAGCTCCCCTAATCTGTACCTCATCTATCAGCTCCTCCCTATTGGTCAAGACTAAGTCAAGGATGTTTCCCCCCCTTATCGCCTCTCGGACCCTCTGTGTGAATATCCCACCTTCTATAGCTTCTAGGAAGCGACGTGACCTGGCTGTCACCACCGAGTGAGTCTCCTAAGTAATATCTGGGAGATTGAAATCTCCCATAATTACTGTGTCCCTCCCCCAAGATATCCTTAGAATCTGGCCTGCCAGGACATCATCCAGGGTCTCAAGTTGACCTGGAGGGCGATAACATACCCCCACTGCCAGGTCCCTTTCCCTGTCAAAACCCCTAAGTTTCACCCAGACGGCCTCCACCGAATCCCCACCTGTGCTGCATCCTATCTCACTGCATCCTATCCCTTCCCTGACGTATAAAGCTACGCCCCCACCTCTCTTTCCCTTCCTGTCCTTTCTAAAAAGGTGATACCCCTCTATGTTCACATTCCAATCTTGCCTTTCACCAAGAAACTCCCACCAAGTTTCTGTGATTCCCACCAGGTCATACCCTCCTCTTCCCAGGAGAGCTTCAAGCTCTTCCTGCTTGTTACCCATGCTCCTAGCATTGGTGTACATGATGCACCTCAACTCCTTCCCACCGCTTCCTTTCCTTGGAGTTCCCAGCCTCCTCCTTCCTCCCATCCTCCCTGGTACCTGGCCCCTCTCTGTAGGAGTCCTGTCAGTCCCTGCAGTACCTCTAAAACCCTGCTCCCAGAGCCCTGATCCTCCCCCCACACTTGTCCAGTGCAGACACGTTTCTGGGGGGCCTGAACCCTCCACTCCCCCCCGGCTCAGTTTAAAGTCTTCCGGACGAAGCTCACTAGAGCATCTCCAAAGGACCTTTTCCCCATCGTGAGGTGCAACCCGTCCCTTGCTAGAAGTCCATCGGCAAGAAACCGGGTGCCGTGGTTGAGGAACTCAAAGCGTTCCTTCTGGCACCGCACCCTGAGCCAGTCGTTCACCTCGGAGGCCCTCCTGTCCCTGCCTGGCCCAAATCCCCGGACCGGTGAGATCAACGAGAAGGCCACTTGGGCCTTTAGTTCCCTGAGTTTCTTCCCCAAGGCCTCGGAGTCCCTGGTGATCCCACCCACACCCTGCCAGGCCACATCGTTTGTGCCCACGTGGATCACCAGGAGCGGCAGGTGACCCCCGGAACGAACAAGACGCTCCGCTCTGCCCTTCACATGCCGGGTGCGTGTGCCCGGCAGGCAGCTGACTTCCCTCGCCTCAAGGTCGGGGCGGCACACCGCCGGCTCAGTGCCCCTCAGCAGGGAGTCCCTGACGACGATCACCCACAGCCGTGTCTTCCTGGCGGTGGTGGGCGGCCGTGCCCTGGCCCTCGCCTCTCCTGCGGCGGCCCCCTTGCCGCCTGTGGTCCCAGGCTGGGGGTCCTGCTGGTCCCCCAAGGCCTCATCAGCCCCAGCCTCCCGAGTGGAGAGAACCTGCTTCCCAGCTCCAGGTCGGCGCCAGGAGGAGGAGGAGGTCGTGCTGGCCTCCCCTTCCTGTGGGTGACGTGCCTCCGTGGCTCCCCGGCTGCTCCTGCCGTGGCCCCTCCCACAACCCTCTGTCCGGAGGGGTCTGCTCTGGGGGCCTGGAGAGCGCTCTCGGCCCTCAGGCCCCTCACCTCCTCCTGTAGCAGGGCCCCCCGCCGGCACCGAGGGCAAGTGTAGCCCTGCCTCTCCTGGGGGAGGAGGGCGGACGTGTCACAGCTCTCGCAGCGGACAGCCACCCCCGTGACTCCCGCCAGGGCCATCTCCTGGCCTGCCACTGGCAACCCTCTGAGACCCTGCCTTGGTCCCCCGCCTTGTCTGTCCTGCAGGTCCTCTCCTTCGCCCAGTGCTCCCAGACAAAAACCCACACACACACACACACACACACACGCACGCAAGGATAAAATAAAAATGTTCTCTGTCCACCTCCCTTGTTCAAGTTCCAGGGCTGGTAATCGGAAACAAGGAGAATATGTTGCGGAGCTGAGCAACATTTTAATGCTCTGTTTGAAGATGGCCAACAAGACAGGCATCGCTCCACTTCGTGAAAGTGAAGCCCCCCGTTGCACTAGGCCCTGTGTGAAGAAGGCACACGGATTCTGCCCCCCATCAGCTTCGCAGGCGCCCCCTGCGCCTTCTGCATTATGGAAGGAGAGCAGCTTTTTCCACCCAGGCTTAAGTCCAACACCACCTCTCTGGTTTCAATAAGATCTCCCTCTTCCTGCTCATTTGCATGCTGTCTCATTCTGCTCGTAGACTTAATTATTCTGGCCAGCATTTCTTCTCACAGACTCTCCATTCCAACTCAGCTCCGTCTCCCCGAGAGCCGTTCTGGCTGCCTCCATCCTCCTTCCAACGGACTCTCTCCAGCTGCTACTAACTCCCTACAACTTTCCATCCTGGCTTCAAGTGAAAATTCCTCCGCTCACTCTTGCATTACAGGAAGGGTGGAAATTCAAAATGATCGTGACAGGTTGGAGAACTGGGCCAAGTGAACAGAATGAATTTAGACAAAGATAATTGCAAAGTTCTGCCTTTAGGAAGGAAAAACCAGAGGCCCAGATATAGAATGGGCTCCACGCGGCTTGACTGCAGCATATGTGAAAATTATACAGGAGCTTCAGTTGACCACAGGCCAAACGTGAGCCAGAGTTGTGCTGCAGCAACTAAAGCGGCAAATACAATTCTAGGCAGCATTGACAGAAATTCTGACAGGATGCAGATTACATGAAGTGACAGTACCGGCTTATTCTGCTTTGGGCAGACCTCACCAGCAATGCTGGGCCCTGCAATTTCAGAACAGGCCGGAATATGTCCAGAGGAGGGTAGAAAGGTGGTGAGGGGCTAGAAGGCCAAATCCTATGGGGAAAGGTGGGGGGAACTGGGTACATTTTGCCTGGAGAAGAGGCAATGAACAGCAGCCAAATACCTGAAGGCTCTTGTGCAGATAACTCGGCGGTTTCAGAGTGGTTTCAGGTAAAGGGGATTCTGACTAAACTGTAAAGAACTTCCCAGTAGTAGAGCTGGCTTGTGTCTGAACGTGGCGAACTCTCTGCCATTGCACATCTTTAAGAAAACCCCGAATGCTGCCTCCGAGAGAGGCCGAGGCCACGGGACCAGGACCGGGACACAGAACAGACAGCGGCACCTTGCCCCTTCCTGAACAAAAGAAACGAAGCCCTTGGTTTCTAGCAGGAAATCAAGAACCAGTTTATTCACAGAACTGGAGGGGGGGCTCTCTGTGACTGCTAGGCCTGCTGGCTGTTTGCCACCTCCGTGACCAAAAGGGCACTGCCGGCGTGCACCAGTTGCTGAAGAGCAGGGCAGGAGGCGGTCTTGCACCTGTCCTTCTGGAGGGGTCCTGTGGGCGGCTGGCTTGCCACCGGGGTGCAGAGTGCTGTCCTGGATGTACCCCCGGCCTCGTCCAGCAGGGCTTTCCTTCTGTTCTTACCTATCTTCAGCCTGACTTAAAGTTACGGTTTCCAGCACTCTGGGTGTGTTAATTAATTGGAGCGAATCGCCAGTGCCAGAATGTTTGCGTTAGCAACGCCTTTTTTGTGCATACCGAGATTTAAGTTTAAGATGTTGAAGACTTAAGTTTGGTTTTTCAGGTCTTGTCTTTGTAGAATGGCTAGGAAAGAACATGGTGGAGCTAATCTGCATGAAATGAAGAAACTGCAGACACACTGAAGGTTCTTTCTTTTTAACTTAAATGCAACACTCTAGGCGCCTTTACTTGAGTAATGGTCATTTTGTTCCCTTTGTCAGTTTGGAATGAGCCTCTCGAACCCTTCCGTGCACAACTGAATTCTGCTCATGTTTGTTCATCTCAGGGTTTTGTGATGCCTTCAACATCGACATGAAGAAGCCACGAATCATTCCGGGCTCGAAGGAAGCCTATTTTGGCTATACGGTTCAGCAGCATGAAATCAACGGGAAGAAGTGGTAAGTGACCCTAGTCTTGTTCCTGTGTCGAACGTTGACGTCGTGTGTTGCTCCCAAAGAGGCAGGCGGGTCTTGCCACTCTTGTCCAGCAAGCCGCTGACCAGTTGCCAGTAGCCATGGTGGAGCCGGCTGTCTAGTTTTGGACAATGCGACACAAGACAATCCGTGGTAGGACAACTCCTAAAGCAAGCCGTGCATTGTCAGGGTCACCCACTGCCTTGAACAAGCCACCCTATGCAAAGCGGCTGCCTGGCAGGAGAGCGGGTTGTTGCGTTGCAAAAAAACCCGGTCATTGTCGTTCAAGTGAACGGAGAGGCTTTCTCGGGGTATTGCACTCTTCAAGTAACGGAATTCCTGTGTGGCAGCCATGCATTTTCTTCCGACATCCAAAACGAATATGCAGAAAAAAATAAGTAGCTAATTTTTTATTTTACCCGCCCCCAAAGAGGCCATGTAAAGCTACCCATGACTCACGATGAATCACTGAGCAAACACACCATCGCTACGAGGAAACCAGCAGATGTGTGTTGTACCACCAAACAATCCAGTCGCACGGAGGTTTGTGGTGCACGGCCTCGGCCAGCGAAGCTCGCTCTGAATCTGGCAGACGGCAGCCCAGTGGAAAACAGAAAGCCCACAAAGCCACAGCTGGGTGTCAGGAGGAAACGCGCCAATCGCCCCGCAGTGGCAACCTGCGGAACCTCCGGGATTCCAGCAAGAGGGCTGAGAAGGGCAAGGCGGGCCTGAGAAGCGAAGCGGCCCCCTGGGAAAGGCCGGGCCGTGTCAGAAAGATGGGTGTGATGAGAGTTCCCACCAGGCCCGGCATCCAACCAAATACTTATAGCGGAGCCTAAGCTTCCCTAGCATCTTGAATTGTTTTTAGATCTGTGTCATTTCCCAAAAATCTCCTCCTCCTCGTCCTGAACTTCCCCCAGAAAAGTTCTGTGCATCACAAATATGCCTCTTTCTCAGTTATACAAATTGGTAAGCGGTGAGCTGCCAGTGGAATCCAGGACGCCGCTCTCGCAAATGTCCCACATGGGCTGCACTTCTGCCAGGCACCCGGGGGGGGGGGGGAGACCTGGGGGGCCCCCCCCCTCGCAGATTCCATTGCCACACACCTGCTGCCAGGTGATGCTGGCACCTAGCCACACCTGCCTTTCAATGCCAGGTACCCACTGCCAGCATGGGCAGAACGTTTTCACCCTGCCGGGTGCTTCAGTGCTCCCTGCTCCCGGCCTGCTTCTCACCTGAGGTTTCCGTTGCCCCCCCCCCCCCACCAGACCCACACCAGGGCCGGTCAGGCATCCCGGCGCTGGCCAGCATGAATCCAACATTTGCTTCCTGCAGGCAAACCCAGAATTCACCCCATGCTCGTTCAGTGGAATGTAGGTGGAGCTGGAGGGCCGACCGGGCCGGAACTGCTTCTTTTTCGTAACATTGGCAGGGAAATATTAATTCTGCTCTGCCAAAGAGGACCGAGTGCCAGAGCGGCGTGACTGTGCCACTAGGCTTGTTTTCTTCCGTGCTTCAACCCAAGGGGCAGGCCAGGGCCACCGTGATGGGGACAGGTGTTGCCCTGTAGGTTCCCCAGTTCGAACCACCCCTCCCTCCAGAGCGGCTGCCGGGCCTGCCCCTTCCCCTCTTTGGTTCTGCACAGGCCTCCCTCCAGCTGCAAAAACCCCAGTGAGCAGAACAAGTGCCACCTGAACCTTCACGCAGGGCCTCGTTGCCTTTGGCCCCCACATCATTGCAGTCCCCGTGCGTCTTCGCGCCGAGGCTGCAGGCAAATTCGGTCCGATGCCGAGTTTGGATTTTCTGAGCATCGTGCTTGTAATGAGGAGAGCCTGTCCTTAAATGGATTGCGGCATCCGCTGTAGGACACGGTTTCAGCCCCACTGGAGAGGAGTGTCGGGGGAGGAGGGGAAGAGGCACATTTACCGGCACGGCTACCTGGGCCGGTGTGTGTGCGTGCGTGTGTGTGTGTGTGCCACGCACCGGGCATGTCCTAAGCACAGCTGCTTTCTTCATTCAGAACTTCAGGGCAGGCAGCCAAGCCTCACACATTTGGGGAGGGGACTTCATGTGTGACCACGGGAGTGGAAAGTCTGAAAGGAAAGAACCCAGGTTACCAAATTCCAAGAAAGTTGGCCAGGGGGTGGCCGGGATAATATACACTGCTCTTGAATACAGCCAGCCCTTCAGATCATCTTCCCCTTTCATTGTCTTTCCAGATCAGCCATTCAAGGCCTTCTTTCCTAATTTAGTGATCTTGGCTGCCCATTAAAAGAAAGAAAGAAAGCACCCATTTGCCTTCCTTCCACCAGGAGCTCGGTGGCTGGATGCCAGTGCAAAAGGGTTACATCAGACAGTGTTGCTTTCCTGTTTTATTCCTGTGATTTAAGTAGTGAAATATTCTGAAGTTCTTTAGCAGGTGTGTTGCCTGTCAGAACTGTAGTATTATATTCAAGGTTTACACAGATGTTGGCAACTTAACAGCTTCATTTGCGCTTCACAGCTCCTTGGCAGGGGCTCCAACACGGGGCCTGCGCGGGGCTTTTCCTGATCTAAAGCACACAGAGAGGAAAAGCTCGGCACGATCATTCCGTGGTCTGCAGGGAGAACCTCCTGGATCCCTCAACATCTGCCCTCCACCCCTGCTTTCCTGGCAGAAGCGAGGGCTCCCCCTAGAAAAGAATGAGGAAATCCAGATGTTTGCCATTGTTCTGATTTGGGTGACCATTCCTCCCCAAGAAAAGGTAGCTGCAGGGTGAGGACTGTCATTTAGTTTTGGTCTTACTGCATTCCAGGGCTGGTACCCTCCAGATGCACTTGCAACAGTCCTGAAGTGTAGCCCAGTGTGAATATTATAGCTCAGAGGTGGGCTGAGGTTGCGTCGAGTTTCAGGACCGCGATGCTTCCGCATGGCAGCCGCTCACCTCAAGAAGCAGAAGCAGGAAGACCCCTTTGGAGCAAAGCACGTGGATTGGTGGCGGGGGAGAGCGGCAAGCTCTGCATTTGCTTTAAGGGTTAAGCCTGACAAATCGAGGCCCGGTCAGCACGAAACAGCAGCAGCGGGAGGGTGGATTGCCCCACCGTTTGCCAACACATCTTGCAAACCCAGGCGCCCCTTAGGCTGATCGGAGGTTGCTGTGTGACCCCCAAACTGGGACGCGGAAGGTTACTCACGGGTTAAAGAACCTGCAGTCGACCTACAATTAATTTCCCAGGCCATCTGAGTCTCTCTGCCGTTTCAGCTCTGTTTGGATTTCCTCCTGCCCTTCAGGAAAAGGGACAGCTCCTGGGTTTCTGGTCATCTTCTGTCTCCAAGCCTCCATTTCACGTTTGTGCATCTAAATGCTGATGTAACCATTTTCTAATCCTGGAGGATTGCTATTTTTTAAGCCAACCTAATTGCAGACTTTACCCTCAGATATTTTGCAACAGCCCTTTTTCCATCCAACAAAATGTCGCCTCACCAGAGCAAAGCAGATGGCGAAAAGGAACCCCACCCTGACCCCCGAGGGGCAAGGCGAGGTAGAACAGCTGGGATGAGATCAGGGCTGCTCCTCCACAAATGCGCCAAGACAGGCACAGAACTAGCCAGGTCCCGGAAGGCCTGCCCCTGGGACCCTCCGATCTGCCCCGGCACCGGCCCCGGAGTTGCTGCGGCGCCATCGAGCCGGATGCACCGGGCTCAGACGCAGCTTGCGGCCTCTGCGGGCGGTCGCAGCGCACGCCCATGTGCCCCCACCTGCATCCACACGCCACCGTTCTAGCTGCCGGCTCAGGATCGCCGAACTGTGCAGCTCAGGAAAAGCAGCTCTTTCCTGGCTTCAAAACTCTGTAGATGCCGACCATACAGACGCCGGGAGGTCTTCAGAGGACACTCCAATAAGCGCGCATGTCAGGGGCTCATGCCTTCCTGCCCCTTGCCCCAGCTCTCTCCATGCACATTTCTTGGCTTTGGGTTCAAAACCCCGGAGGAGGCAGGAGGGGCGGCGCTGCCTCCTCCCTCTCTGCACCGCTTTGGACACTCTCATCTGTAAATTCGTTCTTTTTTTATAGCTGCACAAAGCCCACATTCCCTTTGTGTATTTGAGAACAAGTTTTCTTTTGAAGCAGACATTTCTAAACATAGATGCTCTCTAGAAATGCACATTTTGGAAGTGTTCTCCGGTGGGCACCGCCCTGGTGCTTTAGAACGTGGGAAAGGCAGCGGATGCCTGCCGATGCGCTGCTGGCTGCAGGCGGGGGGACCTGTGCCTGGGTCTGCATGCCTTGGGATGGGCAAAGTCTGAATTTCTCGCGCCTCCCTGCAGGGAAAGGGTGAACATGGACTGTGCAGATGGCCTGGGGCCTGGGGCGTCCCTTGGCCCCTCCACCCTTGTCAGTCTCGAGGAGGTTCAGAGCTGCGAAGCTGGCTGTGAGGTCTGCCACAGGCGTCCCTTCAAAGCGCTCGTTCTGCTTTGGGAGAGCCATCCTGTGCAAGGGGCCACGCACGGGCAGCCGCTGTTGCAGAAGTCGTCACTCACGTTTCAGGGCCTCGGGAGCGTCTTCTGCAGCATGGTGGCACCCCCCACTGCTGAGCGTGGGCGCCCCCGGGAGGCATCCTGCCGCAGCCCCTTGCTGCACAGGTGCCGGGGCCAGATCAGCCAGGCCGAGCAGCTTCATCCAAGCTTCCCACACCTGTACAGAAGGCAGGCTGCCCAGAGCCCAGGGGGTTGGCCCGAGGGCCAGGTGCACAGCTGTGGGCACTGCTAGGATGGAAACCTGCTTATCCAGTCCGTGCTTTGTTACACGAGAGAGGGGAGAGGGGAGGGGAGGCTCTCAGGGCGGTTGGGGGGGGGATATAGTGCAAATCTGATAAAGCTGGACAGGTTTCCAGCTGCCCCTGACGCTTCCCCCCGTATGTCGGTCTCGTGCTCCATCATCCCCAAAGCAACCTGATGTGCGCTGTGGCTGAGGAGAAAGCAGAAAGGGCCCAATCCAGCCAAAGA